CGGAGTGCTTGCTTTCTGTGTTAACTTCTCAATCTTTTACGTGATTCACTCAACTACCGCTGTCACATTTAATGTTGCTGGGAACCTTCAGGTGAGATTTACCTATAGAAGATGGATCCTTCTCATGTTCTACCCAGTTTTACTATCGTAATTGCTGTCATAAATTGTGATGTTCTAAGCTTAAGTTGTTTAATTTACGGTAGATTTGATTATTTAGATAAATGCATTTTTCCAATTCATCTTGGAAGTTTTGTAGTATATTGTAGCCGACTCCCGATGCTCAAGACACACACACGATTCATGTTCGTTGTATTGAATGTGACATTCATTAGTCTTATGCTTCCCTTGTACAGGTAGCATTTGCTGTGCTGATTTCGTGGATGATATTCAAAAACCTGATTTCGGGTCTAAATGCTGTTGGCTGTGGTATCACACTTGTGGGATGTACATTTTACGGGTACGTCCGACACATGCTTTCTCAACAGCCACCTGGAACGCCTCGAACACCCCGGACACCTAGGAATATGATGGAACTGCTTCCCCTTGTAAATAATAATGATAAATTAGATGATAAGGTCTAACTTATGGGGGTCCTTGCGCTGGTCTCGCATTAGATTTACTCACTTGGGAAGTTCTTTAACACATTTTCTCGTCTCTCAGACACAGAAATTTATTAAGTTTTCTTACATCTCTTTATTTGTACGAGAAATCAAATGGAAATTCTCTCTATTATTTTACTGCTGATATTCTCATTCCGCCGACCCTAGCTTTTAAATGAGATACTTGTGTGCTACTTTGGTTTGTGTGTTCGTAATTCACTAGGATTCGGCTTAACCATTGTCGACTCGAATGTGTGTTATTAAGCGAGTTTAATTTCAGTATAATGTTTGATCGTAAGCCGCTAATCTATTTAGTTTTCTTTTTTTACTTTTTAATTTTAAGTTTAGATGAAAAATATATATTTTTTGAATAACTTTTCATTCTAAACTAAAAGCTAAAAAGTAGTAAAAAAATATTTGACTTTATGAAAAAAGGAAAAAAATTCAAGGACGAACTTTAACCCTTCATAAAACTTAAAACCTTTTCTAAAAGATTTGATTAAAAATATAAATGTTAAAACATATTTCTTATTTGTTTTAGGCATCTAGTTTTTTTTAAAAATATATTTAATGTAATACCTCAAATTTTGGGTAGCGACCAAAATGTAAGTTTTGAAAGTTTAATGACCACAATATAGATTTTGAAAAGTTTAGGGACCAAAACTATAATTTTTAAAAGTTATATATTTTTGAATGGTTTGTCTTGAAATAAAAGTTTTTGTAGTAATCAAAATTTTGATTCGGAATTTGTATTAAAAGCTATAAAGTAGTAAAGTCTAGTAAGAAATCAGATAATTGCATCGAACTGGAATTTCATGAAAATTTAAAGGATGCTAGATAAAAGTTAGAAATATTATTTCCATATTTTAAAACAATGAAATTTAGCATGAATAAGTGGAATTGAAGTTAGTTTTCCTTATTTAGTCGAAATTGGGAAAATTAAGTGATTATTAAATTATAAATTTTGAAAATTGCATGACTAAAGTAGAAGGTCAACTTCAAGTTGGTTCATCTTTGACTATGGGATATTTTAATGGAAGATATTTCAATGGTAATTATCATGATTCATTAAGGGTTGGAATTTCTCATTAATCGAAATTTAAATTCAATTATATTATAAAGGTGCCAAGTGTTTTAATTGATAATTACAAGAAAAAAATCATGAAAATTTCAGCTTCAGCTTCACCAACCAGCTGTGAGGTTTCATAGCTAGGTATGGGAGTTTTTTAATTTGATCTTTAAGCTTAATCGATTGATTTTTGGATTAAGATATTAGATAGAGAATTAATCTATTTGAAATTCTCTATCAATTGGAATAATGGTTCATGGAAATAGGCTTGGAGGATGAATTTCATGAATTTCATGTATGAAGAACAAGTTTGATTTTGATGATTTAAAGGATGCTTTTTATGTTAGTGATGTTATAGATTAAATTCCAAGTCTTGACGATGATTAAAATCAATTATAAGGGTACTTATAAATCGACCATAGCTAGGGTTTAAGGGGATGATTTGAATTTTGACTTAAATTAATGTTGTGATGATTGGAATAGCATGAATTTGTTGTTAGGAGGTTGAATTCATGATTGAAATTGAAAGAAAAGTTTACCGTAATTGTTTTGAATTGGATCAATTTAGAATCTTGAAATAGTAAAAGGACCATTTTGCAAGTTTTGAGAACTATGAGACATTGATGAATAAATGTGTAATTTGGGGTATTCAATACTGAAATTTAAGTATGGAAGGCTGAATTTTACGTTAGAATGTTGATTTGAGGATCAAAGTACAAATTTGACAAAGTTGGGTAGAGGAATTCTAATGGTCATGGAATTTGAGGGACTTAATTGCAAGTTTGTAAATGTGATGGTACTATTTGAGTATAATACTATAATGCTGGAAATTATTACTTAAGTGCTGAATTTTAAGTTTGAGTGTTTATTTGGGATCAAATTGCAAGTTTAGTTAAGTTGAGTTTTTAAATGTTGAAATATTGAATTGGGTATGTCATTTATGTGCTGGAAATTTTAATATTTGATTTGAAGTAATTAAAATAATGAAGGACCATTGTGAATTAAATGGAAAAGTTTATGTAAATTCTAAAAAGAATTCATAAATGGCGATTTAAATACAAAGTTTGTGAAAGTTGAAGGATTATGATGAAAATGAACATTTTTGGAAACAAATAGCTATTTTGGAAAGTTTTAAGTCATGATATAATAGTGATTTAGTTTTATATCGATTATGCTTTATAGAATTTATTTTATTAGAATTAGATTATGTTAATAGAATATTAACATATAGTATCAAAATTGTCTTATGTATGTGATGTAGTACAAACTACGACAAATCTTGTGATCCAAGCGACTCGAAAGCGAAGAACAAAGCACCTGAGTAAAAGAATATCATAGAAAAGGTTCGGTAGTGAGGCAAAGGTGAAGACTTGCGATTACTTAACCTCATATTATTTTTAAAGCATGACTTTATTTTAATTATGAAATTTTTCCATAATGTTATATAAAGGATTTATGATTTTTTAGGTATGAAATTATCTAATAAAAATTAGCTAACCCTATTCCCATATGTAATGGGGTAAGGGGGAGGTATGATAATAGGTTGCCCCCAACTCCAGGTTGATAGCAGCTTCCGTGGGAGACCTCCAACAGTCAAAATTTATCTAATACATTTTTATATATGATATTTTCTGAAATAATTTTAAATGAATGATCTGAAATTTTAATGATGGAATATTTCTTTAATGCTTTCAGAAATGTTACCTGAATTATTTTAGGGTATGAACTTTCCAACTTATGATTTTTATGATGATGAATGAAAGATGATTTTGATTTGGAAATGTTGAGCTTTAATTGAATATAATATGATATGAAAGCTCATTGTATGTTGCACTGAGAGTCGTAGGTACACTTGGTATGCCGTTAAGTTGAGTAAAGTAAAGTCCAACTCTGACATGGTACATTCATGTACTTTATGAAAGATACTATTGGTGTAAATGAAGAAAGATACCGTTGGTGCAAATGATATGAATGCACTTGGAGTGCATATTCTGATAATGATGATAGCATTGTTAAAGTGCTTAGTGCACACATTCTGTCTTACTCACGTACATTGCATTCTTTATATATATATATATATATATATATATATATATATATATATATATATATATATATATATATATATTGGGTTATGAAAGCAAAATATGATAATGAATGTGAAAAGTTCTTAAAAGGATTTAAATGGAAAAAAATATGAAATGAAATATGAAAGTTCTAAAATGTGTCTGAATGAGTATAAAATGAATTTTTTAATGACTGATATTAGTTATTATGGTTTTGATAAAATCATGCGATGATGATTTTCAGGTTTCTGAAAAGGAAAACGACTTGAAAAGACCGGTTTGAAAGTTCAATGATTTTTTAATTATATTTTATTGCTTAAAAGTATTTATGTGATTTTATGTTTTATCTCACCTTAACTATGATACTGTCTCACCAAGTTTTACTTAGCGTATAATGATTTTCATGCGTAGGTTCAAATAAAGAAAAGTACATAAGGAGCACCGAGAACATATTTTCTTGGGGAATCATACCGACCTACAGTATCAGTAAAACATCTTTGACTTATTAGTGACATGTGTTTTATACATGTTTTTGGTTGATTTGATAGACTAGCTTTAAAAGGTTGGTAGTAGATATAATTTAAAAGGGGTTAAATGATTGATTTTTAAATTAGGCAGTATTTTGGCAGTTTATAAATGTTACTGCCTAAAATCGAACTTAAATTGGACGATAAAATATTATTTTATGTTCTTACACGATTATTTAGATTGGTTAAATTGATCAATTGGAATGGTAAAATGGAACAAAATTTTACGGGTTTTCAAGTATGGAATATTAATAGAAATCAATGTGACATCTTTAAGTTGTATTTAAATACGTATACAAGTTAAGGGTGTTACACCCTAATACTCATAAAACCCTAAACTACTCTAATTTATATTATTCAATATTCGATCGTATCTTAAATGATTGAAGAACATATCAAAAAATGATAATTATGACGTCTCCATGATATAATAATAAAATTATAACATACAAATATTATGTCAACGAAAATCAATCCATCTTAACACACATGGCTTTTATGTCACCCTTTCATTTATGCTTCAATAATCAAATGATTTTTTTTTTAAAATAATACTAAAATAAAAAAAATTAAAAGTTTAATGAGTAAATTAAAAAAATTAAATTTTATGATTGAAATAAGAGTAAGAAAAAAGTTGAGCGATGTAAATTGTAATTTATCCTTTATTATCGTACACCCGCTACCACCCTATATTTTCCTAATACCACTCCTTTAGCTTTGTTTTTTCTCGCGTCCCCATGTATTAAGGTTTTAGCATACTCTGTTTCTCTCTCTACAGTAGTCGCAGTAAAAGCTTGAAACCTCTTCCGTGTCCCGACAAATGGCAGAGAAGACGCACGATGGCTACGCCGCCGAGAGAGAAGCCAAAGAAGCGGTTGAAGCGGCGGAAGAGACGGCGGAAAAGGACGATATCGAGTCACGAATTACTACCGCTATGCGCTCTCGCGTTGGCCACTTCAAGGAACAATCCGAGTACACAAACACTCTCTCTTTCGCTGTCTATCTGTTACACTCTTCTTAACTAAGCTTTAGGTTTCGAATTCATAAGTTTTTTTTATATTAATTCGCATTACATAGTCGAATTCTAGGGATTTCTAGGTATTTTGAGCTGGTACTTGAAGGGTTTTATTCGAATTATTTTAGAAAATGGGAAATATGTTGTTGATTGGAATCTTTCGTTTGGTTTTAACCATGATTTACTTGATATTTTTTTTAAATTTGATTCCTTTTTTTGTTTATTGGTAAGTTCATTGACATTCGAGGGAGTTCGGAGATTGTTAGAGAAAGACCTGGGGTTAGAGACGTTTGCATTGGATGTTCACAAGAGATTCGTCAAGCAATGCCTGTTAAAGGTACCGTTTTTATCTTTTTCTTGATAAGATGCTCTTGCTCATTTAGGCTTCATGTAAATTTTGGCTCCTAATTTTGCTAATTGTCTTTTCTCTTCCAAAAGCAAAAAAGTATGTTTTACATACAGTAACCAATACTATTTTAAAAAAAATTAAACTAAAATTTGTATATTTTATATTTGGCGTAAATTTACTTCCCCCCCTGCATGGAATAATAATGTTAATTCTGAATGCATTTTAGTTATTTGCTCAAATGGTAATTAAAGTATGCTTAATTTATATTTTTACACTATGTTGTAATTGGGTAGAAAATGAATGATTTTACCTTTGCATGGAAAAATTATGTTACGATTGATGGTGTACTTTAATCATTTGTTTATTTTCAATCTGTCGTGATTTATCTGTCTGTATTTGCCTTTGTTTTATGACAACTTTTAACAAGAGATAGCTAGCAAAATAGTCGCACTTAGCCTTAAATATTTTTTTTCATTTCTTTTCCAGTAACATAAGCATTTACTTGAAGTGCTAGTCGAAGAATGTATCTAATAACTTTTATAATTCGTCTTCATATAGTCAAAAAATGGTTTGTCATTGCATCATCAACAACCATATATTTTCCATACTATTGTTTTACTGGCTGTTGGCAATATACGATGTAGTTTCAATTCCAATGCTCTATGAAACAATGGTATCTTCCATTTTAAAGTTTTTCTGGACTTACAAGACTAGGTTCATTAGAGAAAAGAAATTTGATGAACTGCTTTACTTGTTTGGGAAAGAGCTGTAGCTTATTCAGTACAATGAAAATTAAAATCTTGTTGCTTCTGGAACAATTGCTTTTTATAATGCTATGTAAAGAAGGAATAGATGTGTTAGAATGTGAACTCTCAAAAGGTGTTGTTTAATATTCTTGTTTCACTTTTAATTGATCAATACACTTATCCATTCTTTATTTACAGTGTTTAAATGATGGCAAAGATGATGAAGAATCCAAAAGTTCTGGTGAAACAGTGGAGAAAAATGCAAGTACAATCACTGAAGGGACAGAATCTCCCAAAGGACGGCAAGCTAAGAAAAATATAAAGAAACCTTGCTCTGAAGATGACAAATTGGAAGAATCTCCAGTTTTGGGCCTTCTATCCGGAAAAAAAACTATGAAGACTGACGATAAAGAAAACAAAGAAATTTCTGTTAGTACAATAAAGAAAGCTGTCAGAAATAGAGCTTCATATGTTGAAGCTAATTCGGAGTGAGATGCTACATTGTTTGATTTGTCACTGCTAGTCAATATAATTGCTTGTTCATTATGTTGCATCCTATTTTTTTGTGGGCCATCTTTTTTCAGTGCCTTTGGTATACTGAGGTGTAACATTTAATCATTGGAACTTTGATGTTTCAGTAAAGTCACAATGGCTGGACTCCGTCGGCTTTTGGAGGAAGATCTTAAACTCGATAAATATGCACTTGATCCATACAAGACGTTCATAGCTGAACAATTGGATGAGGTGGGCATACTTTGTCGTGGGAAGTAAATTCAACTTCTTAAACCAATATGTGCATTGTAGTTTTCTTATAATTTTTCTGTTAATTATCAGGTATTGAAGTCTCGTGAAGCTTCTGCTTCTGCAAGTGAGGTTAAGGAAAAAAATCTCGAGAAAGTTTCTCAGAGCAGAACTTCTAAAAAGGTTAGCAGGAAATTGAGTTCCTCATCGGGAAGCGAGAATGATGAAGAAGAGGAAGAGGAAGAGGAAGTGAAACCCAAAAAAAAGACAACTCTTAAAGGGAAGGTTAAGAACTCTGAAGGGCTAAAAAAGCGGAAGTTACCTAAAAAAGAGGCACAGATGCCTTGCAAGAAGAGAAGCAAGCATATGGAATCAAATTCAGATGATGATAGCAATAAGGAAGACAGTGGGAGTGTCTCTGATGATAGTCACTCTCGATCTTCTGCTGCAAAGGCAGTGAGGATGTTGCTTCTTATTGCTCATTTTCAGTCCAAATCAAATTTCTTATAAGTTATTTATCTTTGATTTGATTTATAGATTAAGCATCTTTTAATCAATAGTATTATTATGCAGAGAAAAGATACGTCTGCTCCAGTGTATGGGAAACGTGTGGAACATCTGAAGTCTGTTATCAAGTCATGTGGGATGAGGTTTCACTTTGACCGACCCTTTTAAACTTGATCTCCTTGAAGCTTGTACGTCAGTGTATTCTCATTACTTATTTTATTCACAGTGTTCCTCCCTCGATCTACAAGAGAGTCAAACAGGTCCCTGAGAATAAACGTGAAGCCCAATTAATTAAGGAACTAGAGGAGATTCTTTCCAAAGAAGGATTGTCCGCAAATCCTTCAGAAAAAGGTCAGGATTGTAGCCCCTGTACTACTCTTTCACTATTCATTTCTTGAGTTGCCCTTGTCTCAAGAAATATCTGTTACTGAGAAAAATTGGATTATGCTTTAGGCTTAATATATCGTTACCCTCTACTTTACCCTAATTCTCACATTTACTCTACAATTTTTTCTCGTTTTCTCTTGCACTTTTGTACTATCATTTTGTCTTATCTGTTACCTAAGTGGTATTTTCTGTTAAAAAGTCACTTTACCCAATTAAAACACGTTGCCTGTCATAAAAAAAACTCAAAAAATGTTGAAAATAAAAAAAAAACCCTAAAAAACTCAGTTAAGAATTTATGTTTTGAATTTATAGTTTATTCAAAACTGTATTTATGTTTAATATATTTTTAAAAAAAATTAAAAACCATAAAATCTTAATAAATGTAAAAAAATCATAGATATTGGAAAAAATAAGAAAATTCTAAAAATATATTTTAAAAAATAATTTTGGATTTTTTCCAATTTTTTAAAAGAATCTAGAAAATATTTAAAAAATTCCTAGAATGCCAAAAAAAAAAAAACTGCAAATATAAACGAAAAGTCTAAAAAAAATAATTTTCAGAATTTATGTTTTGAACATATTTTCCCCTGAATTTATAGTTTGCTTAATTTATTTAAAAAAAACTTAAAATCAATAAAAATGTAAAAGATCATAAAAATTATAAAATGGCCAAAGAAAATCTATAAATTTTTATGATTTTTTTTTTCAGATTTCTTTGGCATTTTTATTGTTTTTGCTTTTTAGTGTTTTTAAATTTTTTTTCCATTACACGTGGCAGCCTCTGTTTGCTCCACATGGTTTTTTTAAACGGAAAATGGGTAAGAAAGAATTATAGTACAGGGGTAATTGGGAAAAACTGTGCGGTGGCAAAGAGAATTAGTCTATAGTACAGGGGTAATGAGATATTAAGCCTAAGTTTTATTTTGTCAATAGAAGCTCTTTAATGCTTGGTAACATTTTGGGAAAGAGGAAGGGGGTGTTTGGCAAACAGTTTTTTGAAGAGCTTTTAGCTTATTTGAGCATAAATAGTTGATTGGTAGTCAAACCTTTCATTTTTAGTGTTTGATAAACACCTTTTTGAAAGAGCTTATTGTGCAAAATAAGCTGAAAATGAAAATGCCAGAAAATCCAGTGGTTTGGAAGAGATGATTGCAAAATAAGATGTTGACATATTTGACGTTATTTTTTCCATAATTACATCCTTACCATGAAACTTAATATAATGAAATAGCCTTCATCATAATATATTTAAGCTGAAATTTTATTTTATTATTCTATTTTTTAGTTGTAGATTCTCAAATATATTTTAGTTAAGAAAAATATAACAAAACATGAAAGTGAAAAAGAATTGTAGTGTTGATATTTTATTCAAAGTTAATAGTATGAATCAATCTCACAAGGTTAATATTTGTAAAAATATTAAATTTTAAAAATATATTCAAAATTATCAAAAGTATTCACTAATTTTCTCAAGGAATTTTTAATTCCTTGTCAAAAGCATTTTATCCGAATAATTTCACCCTAATAAAGACTAAAGTATTATAAAACATATATGTACTTAACAACTAAATGTATCATACCCTTATTTGTCATTTTACCCATATCAAGTTAAATTTTACCAAACACTTCTATATAAACAGTTAATCAAATCAGTTTCTCAAATCAGCTAATCAAATCTGTTGGTCAAACCATCTACTGGAATCAGTTATCAGCTATCAGTTGTTTGCCAAACACCCCTGAAACTTTATCAACTAATTTTATCATCTCATGGATGCCTTTGGCCATGATTATAATAGAATTATTCATTAACCACTGTGATACCTATGTAAAGTGTAAACTGTAAACACAAGTTAAAACAAGTCCATTTCTGTTCTTGTGCACTGGGAGTTCATAGAGATGCTACCTACTACTAAAACAGCAATAATGGCCCCAAGCTGAATGCATTATGGTCCTCAACTTGTACTTTTGTCACCATTTACAGCCATCACCGCTAATTCTTCTACTTTATCTTTATACTTATATCTTTAATCTTTATTATATCTATGAAGATAATGGTGATGAAGCTGGTGATGATGGCAACAGCCAGAGTGAAGAATCAGAAGAAGGTGAGTATAAAGATTTGTTTGTTTGCTTTGTTATAAGTTTTATTGAATAGCTTTGTGCACTATTAAATCTGCAAGTAATATTGTGTCAAGTTCTCGTAGAAGGTCCACATCCAGTTTTGTTCCTCCACCAAAACCCAAAATACCTGATGTGAGTGATGATGATGAAAGTGAAGAAAGTGATGAGGATGACGGCAATGATGACGATGAAGATAATGGTGATGAAGAAGCTGGTGATGATGGCAACAGCCAGAGTGAAGAATCAGAAGAAGGTGAGTATAAAGATTTGTTTGTTTGCTTTGTTATAAAGTTTTATTGAATAGCTTTGTGCACTATTAAATCTGCAAACCTCGAGTTTGAAGAATATAAATCATGCAACTGGTGAGTGGTGAATCAACTCTGTGATCTTAACAGATTCCTTGTCCCCATAGTGGCATAGACAGGACCTAGCCAGTTGTTCATAAGTGTCTAATGATCAATACATTTATCACCCTTGGCCAACTAAAGGAAATTTTTTCCCCGTGTTATTATGCATTTAGTTTTGGTTCATATAAGGGGAGATTTATTCCTTGTATAGTTTATGTATTATTTTGTGAATCTTTGATTTCACAACTGGGTATGGGAAGTGTTTTTGATACGTTTCAGAAATGGGGCAAACTCAATACCACCAAAAACCACGTAATATGAAGAATAAACTTTTAAGTGAATCGAGGTATTAATGTCATGTAGTTGACCACAGACGAGCGTTAAATGAAAAATGGAAGGATTTGCAATGTAGTAGCATTTCAGATCCCTGGCACATATCCAAATATCTGAAAGTGAAACCAGAATATGCTGCAAAAACAATTTCTTTAATAACTTTTAGTTAGATAATAGGTTGCCTGTTCAAAGCTAATGACAGTTGCCTTATATGATCTGTGCATATGTTTGCAGAAGAAGACGGCGACAGTGATTGAATCCTGCATAAGTTTACACTTGCAAGGCGGTGACTCTTTAATGAACTGTTAAATTATGATGCTATAGTATGTATCTGAGTTTAATTTCCTACTGATACTTTGTAGCATACGTGGTGTGATGCTTAGTCCTTGATAGAAAAATTAGCTTCAATAGTTTTTGATTAAGGTATTTTATATTTTTGATTAAGGCAGTGACTTAGGTTAGTTCCCTGGAAGAACTTATCTTGTGAGCCCAAAATATTCGGAATAACTGATGATAACCAAATTCAAGGGCTTCATGATGAAGCTTACCTAGATAAACCGGAGCGCTTTCTGAATGGTTTTTTGTTATTAAATATTATTGTTATATTGTGCTTCTCGTTCTCTTCGACACCTCGGATGGATGCAAAAAAAGAAAAAAGGAGACAACGTAGTCAGTTGCCCTCTGATGATGCTAAATTGTCATTTCCCAGCTATGAGAGGGATGTTAAAATAGCTAAAGGAGACAACTTAGTCGCCCCTTGATTTCTTGACTTGTGCTGAAGTCCTCAGCTAACTTAGGTTATTAGACAGACCGGGCAATCTTTGTATTGTGTTGTGTTTGTATATTTGTTCCTCTAGTATCTTATTTAAGGTTACATAAATTTTGGAAATTGTCAATAAGCAACATGCATTCCCCCCCCCCCCTATAATAATGATTTCTATCAAATCAGTTGTCTACAAATAAAGATTTATAAGCAACCTATTTACGGGATGGACTTTGGGCAATGTTTTTTAAACCCATGGTTGGAATATTGTCATAATATTAATATAAAAATATTCTTATACTAATTATTGTAAAAGCGTCTGAAATTATTAGAACTTAATTGGTCCCTCGATGCTATCTTCAAAGTCGGTTGATTCAGAACCGTCCGTGATTGACAATATTTGGACTATACCTTTCTATTCAGTTGCCGAGTTCTGCTGATCTTTGCTTTTGCCCCATAGCACATGCAAAGTCCAAAGATTATTATTACGGATTTACAGTTCCAATAATACCGTAAAACGCCTAAAGGAAAACACATGATTTGAGTGCTATAATTGAAAGAAATTATATGATGTAATGTTAAAGAAATAGTCAAGATAGCTACAACTGTTAATTTGTCAATGACACTGTTAATTTGTTGTATCATGTCCAAAATCCATTTAGACTTTGGTTCGGTACTTGGGGAATATACGACAGGCAGCAAGCTTGAATCAAATCCAAATTTGCGGGCATTCACATCTCTTTCCAACTCAAATGAACTTTATTGACTTCACAGTTGTAAGCCATGTGTATGTTAGGCTAGCAGGTAGCTTGATGATTTGTTGTGCATTTGTGTTAGTTGAGGGGTTGGTTAGTCATGTTTTGTTACTTCCAACTCTCGTATAAATTCCTCATTGAGTTATGAGAGCTTTTCATTGGTAAAAACAAGCACACCCATTTTTGTTCTCTCTTCTCATGCTTTCACTACTCACTTCCTCTTTGGTCATTGTTTGTTCATCAATGGAGGAATTTAAGCACTCTTTAACATTCTCTTGGCCTTCACCCTTTTACCCTCCCATATAGCGAGTCTTGTCTCATCTCATTGTACACATAGCTACAACTATAAATCTATTGCTTATTGGTTATAACGTGCATCTCTTCAAGTCCAAACAAGCCAAAGCAATACTTCGTAATGATATCTATCTGGTTCGGACTTGCAAGATGCATGTTATAACCGATAAAAAATCAATTTTATCCCTTAATTTAATACATATAGAATTTTATTATTTAAATTCAAATATGATTTTTTTAATCTATTATTAATCTGTTCTAGGTCAATCAAAATACAAATGTTATAAATTTTTCTTGGTAACACAAATGTTATAAAATTTTAGTTGTTAACGTGGTTTACCTTTTATTTTAAATCTAATTTTTTAGTTATAATATATTAAATTATAACTATTTAAGTGAGTCAATCAAATAATTTATCGTTAAAATTTAATGGAGTAGGTGATATATCTGTTTAAAAATGATATATTTATACATTTTATCCTCAATATTTATACTTTCTACCGATATAAATAAAATAAACGGTTCTCCACTTTCCACCCTTTTTCTCTCTATGGAAAGTACATTCAAAGCTTCCCTCCTTTCTTCCTCAAAGCTCGTTTACCCTCACTTGCCTATATAAGAAGCGTTGTCTCATATCAATGTCAACATCTCTGAAGCAAGATTTTATATACAGAAACTCAGGAAGCTAACTCATGTATATATATTGGAAATAGTAGGGAAAATGCGGATCGTAGGGGTGAACATGAACAAGGCCAAACCGTACTTGTCAATATATCCCTCCAATTTGGATTTGAAGAGATGTGTGTTCTAACCATGGTTTCTATGCAGCACGGGATGAACCATTACATTCTCGCTGTTAATACCATTTGGTGACTACCATTGTTATTGCATCCTTCGCTCTTTTTCTTGAAAGGTTTGAGAGTCAGGCTTTTCAAGCACAAGAGTGAGGGTGCAATAACAATGGTGGCCACCAAATGGCGGTAAACAGCAAGAATGTAATAGTTCATCCCGTGCTGCAGAGAAACCATGGTTATAACATACATCCCTGCAAATCCAAATTGGAGGGATATCATTGACAAGTACGGCTTGGCAAGGTTCATGTTCAGTCCTACAACCACCATTCCCCCTACTATTTGCAATATATATACATGATTTAGCTTACTGAGTCTCTGTATGTAAAATCTTGCTTCAGATATGTTGATAAGACAAGGCTTCTTCTTATATGGGCAAGTGAGGATGGATGCCATCATAAACTATTTAGAAGATATTAGAGGACGGTTGGAATTTGCATAAGTTTGAACTTGCAAGGCGGTGGCGCTTTCACGAACTGTTAGATTATGATGCTGCAGCATGTATCTGACCTACTTATACTTTGTAGTACACATGGTGTGACGCTTAGTCCTTGATAGAAAAAATGGCTTCAATCTGTTTTGATTAAGGCAGTGGCTGAGGTTGGTTCTCTCCAATTTATGCAGAATAAGGGCTTCATGATAAAGCTCATTCAAGTCGGAAGTCAAGGCCTTCATATTGCCGTTGTTTTTCTTGTTATTAATTACAATTGTTATATTGTCACTTGCCCCTTGATTTCTTGACTTGGATGGTGAAGTCCTCGGCTAACTTAGGTTGTGAGCTGGACCAGGCAATCTGTGTATCGTGTTCTGTTTGTATATTTGCTTCTCTTGTATCTTATTTAAGGCGTTTTATCTTTACATAAATTTAGGGAAATGGCAATAAGCAACATGCATGTTTTTTTTTAATCAGTTGTTGACACTTCAAATAAACATTTACAAGCAACCTACTTAGGGGTTGGACTTTGAGCAATGTTTCTCAAAGTCAGATCCATGGTTGAAATATTATCAATAATAAAGGTTTCTTACACTAATTATTGTAAAAGGTGTCTCAAGTTATTCGAACTTAATTGGTCCCTCGATGCTATCTTCAAAGTTGGTTGATTTAGAACCGTCCGTGTTTGACAATTCTTGGACTTGATCAGTTCTGCTGAATCAAAATGACGATGGCAGGGCCTAACAAGCCGAAGCCATACTGATAAATGATAATGATATCCATCTCGGACTTGCAAGATGCATGCTGTAACCGATAACCAATAAATCTTATCCCTTAATTTATTATATGTAGATACTGGAATGAAGCCTTGTAAAGATTTGCTTTCAGGGTTAAGCTCCAATGGGTATTAAAGTTTTGAGTCTGTGTACTTTAAATTCTGCTATATGTGTTGAACTATATGCTGCAGAAAAACTAACTGCTAATTAAAGTGGAGAACCATTAACATATTGAGAGGTTAAAGCCCCCAATCGATTTATTCTCTTCTAAAAAAACACTCGTACAGAGGAAGAGATTAGATATATAAATCACTTCCATAGCTTCGGGGAAAAAAACTCTGCTGCAAATGTACAGTCTTATTTCATATTTCTCTAGTTAATTGGTCCTCAGTTGGGATCTTTAAAACTCTAGCAGGTCCCTCGATGCTATCTTCCAAGTTCATTGATTTAGAATCGTCCGTGATAGGCAATTCTTGGACCTTACCCTTATCTTCTGTTGTTGAGTTCCGCTGATCTTTGCTTTTGCCCCATAGCACAGTGTAAAGTCCAAAGATTATGATCACAGTTCCGATTATACTGTAAAACACCCACACAAAAAAGCACATGATCATTTAATTGCTTTAATTGAGTTACACAAAGGAACTCCTAAGGTGCAATATTAAAGAAAAAGTACCTTCCAAGGTGAATTTTCTCTGCCAAAATAACTGATCCTAGTGCTGCAGTGATGATCATGCAGAGGGGACTAAAGGCAGTAACAAAAACCGGACCTTGTTCCCTTATCACAACTCCTTGTGCATAATATGCGATTCCAGAACAAACCACTCCCTGATTATATCCATCACAAAAAGAGTTTTATAATGTTAATTACACTGTTATTGTCATTATTTATCTTTAAAATCTATTGTTTAAGCCTTTGTTTTGGTACTTACTGAATATACAGCAGCTAGCAAGCTTGAATCAAAACCAATTTTCCAGACACTCATATCTCTTTCCATGGCGAACGACACCACCGCACCTCCTATGGTCCCAATGAAGCATATCAAAGCTGTAAGAGAGAGCTCTGCTGGGTATAACTTCAGTGTAAATGACTGAAACCAAAAAACATCAATAACTCAATTTAGCAAATATTATAAGGTATTGAAGAAACGAAATGTTTGATGTGTAAAAGTGAATTAGTACTGACCTGCAGAATGTAGAAACCAGACCAGCCCCAGCATCTGGCTAGGAGCATGAGTGTACCGGCAACCCAATGCTTGGCCTCGGCTTCATTGGTGGCAGTGTGGTGGCTTGCACCTTGCAACTTTATGAAATTGATCGCCGGACCTTTGTACAGTGTCATGATAACTGCTCCGGGGACCATGATTACTGTTCCGATTATCTTGGCTATGCTGCGCACCTTCTTGATATTTACTCTTTCCAACCTATTTCGCAAAGTTATTTTCAGTGCTCAAATTCTTAATATTTACAGAAACTTGTGTGCAGGATAAGATGAATCATTTATTACATAATTTACTTGGTGTAGGCGTGTAGCAATAGTAAACTAGTTTAGTGCAAAGAGCATTTAATATTCGAAAAACTTTATCATGAATATTCCATAAGATGCATATGAGAAAGATGGCATAAACCACAAATAAATCATTTTTCTTTTGAAAAATAAAGACAAGGATAGATGGTGATGGCAACTTTTAACATAGATGTTACTGGCAACTTTTAACATAGATGTTACTGGTTTTCTCTAAGGTGAAAGCTTATGTGTCCAACAGAACAGCTTGGTGCATCATATATTATTACTTGGCGCATGCAGCTTTCGTTTGCACGCTTCTTATTATTGCCTTTTAAGGGTATGAATCAGTTAATTGAAATCAACCCAATTTGTTTAATGTTATAGTACCTGAAAATCAATGCCATTACAAAGGTAAGGGCAGGAATCACATTGACAGTGGCCGATGCAAGCGTTGCCGTAGTGTATTTCATCCCTAAATAGTACAGATTTTGGTCCACCACTGGCCTGTTCATCACCAAACAACCCAATTATTAACCTTCTTTCTGTTCTTCTTTCATTTGCATGCAACGTAGTGCAAATCTGCATAAACATGCATGTATGTGCATGCAAGCACGAAAAAAGAATTAGCATGTGCTGGAGGCATTATTACTCTAGGAAACCAAGCACCAGGATTCTGAGGAAAATAGGGAGAGTGAGCTTTGGCCTAATTTTCCTGCACGAAGCAAAACCAAACATTCATATGCTTATGAAGGAGAAAAGAAAAGACTGCACATCAAAGATAAAGAGATCGAGTCTCGGACCTTTCGAGCACAAGAGCGAAGGGGGCAATAACAATGGTGGCAACCATATGACGATAAACAGCAAGAATGTAATGGTTCTAGGCAAGGGTGAAGGCCTTGGCAAAGTTAAACTGTTTTCAAGTGCCTAACCTAACCTATAGGAAGGTGGGAGCGAGAGAGAGCCACGACAAATTTGCTACTCTCATCCCCCTACATATCAAGTTTGGCCAATAATTTTATTATTTATAAAATTCATACATGTATCTTTACTTATTCGATCTCTAATCTTTAGTCTCTTTGTTTGTCTGTATTTAGTTTTTTGAAAAATATTTTCATTTTTTTAGTGTTTAGTTGGCGCAAAATAAATCATCAATGTAATTTATTTTCGATGTCAATTGAAATTCTTTTACATTTTCTGAAAAATAACTTACTATCTGATTTTTTATAAGTTATTTTACGAACTTTTCTCTTCAAACATAAACACTCAAAATATTATTATTTTGTATAAATAATACTAATATATTATTTTAGTATCACTTTAATAAAAATATTAATTATTAAATTATATTATTAATAATTTTAATAATATAATATTATATTGTAATTGTTTTAATTGTATTATTATAATATATAATATCATATTTTTATTTTAATAATATATAATAAATTATTCATAAAATTAATATTATTAAGTTGTTGAATATTCAAAATATACTTCTTAAAATATAATATGGTATTACTATTTTAATATTATATACTTTTTAATATTTTAATATTATTATTATTTTAATAACTAATTAGTATAACTAATAATATATTATTCTTATTTTAATTTTAATTAATATAATTTATAATAATTTTGTTTTAATAAAATATTATAATATTAATATTTTTAAAAGTGTAGATATAATATTTTAATAATAATATTTACATAACTAATATTAAATAAATTATTATAATATTTTAAAATTAATAATACTATATTATTAATAAATAATATTATTTATTGTATTGTATGTTTATAATAAATAATTTTTACAAAATTTATCATCCAATGAAAAATGAATTACAGGACATCATCCAAACACTGTAAAATGATTTTTTAGAAAATATTTTCCAAGAAATATAATTGACTTTACGGAATTTGTTTTCTGGAATTTGTTTTCTGTGAAACAAATGGACTCCTATTTCAAATAAAACTTGTTTCTAATTATTTTTCTTATATTTTTGTAATTAAATTTAAATAAAATATTTTATTAAATTCATATATAATATTTTCATTCCAAGACATTCATTCTTTATATAAAAACATTCATTTAAAAATATGATAAAGGAAATGTTATCTTTTGGATGATCCAAATTTAAATAACTTTATTCGTAAATGTGTGTGAGACCATGATGAAATTATATCAAGATTTTATAATTTTTAAAAGTTTAGTGTCTAGAAAATTATTCTAAAATAAGTTAGTGATTATAGGTGAATTTTATCAAATATTAAGTGTGACGAGATGATATATTGTGACTATCTTAGAATGTCATAGCAACATTAACTTTATTCTCCACAACTACTAAAATTAAAGCCCTACTCAAAAATTTTTGGCCCCATGCAAGATCTAAAAGAAAAAATTCTCTATAGAATGAAAGTATATTTATATTTAAAAATTTTAATTTAATATTTTATTAATAAATCCGACTCCAATACAAATTAAATTAAATTTCATCAAAATTCCCAAAATAAAATCATAATTATTTTTAATTTTTATTTCATTAAAAAATAGTTATGACAATAGAAATATAACTAAACTAAATAACTTATAATATTATCAAATATGTTATTTTATTATTTTATCAAGATGAAAGATGAGACTTAAGTAGGAACTCATGATATTTTTTTTTACTGAATCAGCTTTGAACAAAATATAAAAAGATTAAAAGTAGAATATTATATTCTGTATGATTTAAAGTTTTATGAATCTTTGAATATATATATATATATATATATATATATATATTCAAATTCAACCATCAAAGAAAAGGTTTCTAAGCTTGTAAATTTATTGGCGTACTAATCAAGTGTTGTCTAACTTCTCAGATTTCATCAAGAGTCATATGCATTTTTTTTCTCAATTTTTCATAAATAAGATAATAATGTGTTGTTATCTTAAAATTGAATGATTAAAATTAAAATGTTGTATAAGAATTATTTATGTGATTTAGTCTTAATTGTAGATTATCTTTTTGATAATTTTGGATTAGGAATAAGGAATAGTGGAAGGCTATCACATCCAAGTGAAGAACATATGGACAATATAAGAGCCGTACACCACATATCTGTACAAATCTTGTACGAAACTTTACTCCCAAGTCCACATTATCTTATCTACAGGGAAAAAGCTATACAGTAATATCCCAATCTTGGCCGGGAAAAAGCTATACAGTAATATCCCAATCTTGGCTGGTAAAAAGTAAAAGGGGGGTTTCTTTGAAAAAAGAAAGTAAAAGGAGGGTTATTTATATTTATTTAATTGAGGGGAAGTGGATATCTATTCGAATCATTGGTGTCAAATGACGATAACATTTAGTGCTTTTCAAATACTATCAACGTTTTCTAGTGGTGTTTGTTAAGCGTGGGTGCTTATTATAATACTGGCCACCATTAATATTCTTAAATAAATAATATTATATATAAATACATATTCTATGATAATGTTATTTTACTATATATATATATATATATATATATATATATATATTGTAATACCCTAATTTTGTCCGGGCCATTTAAATTCATTGGAAGACGATCGAGAATAAAGTTGAAGATGTTTGTGCTCGATGATGAATTATTTTAAAAAGATAAATCACAGAAGTTTACGTTTGAAAGCTTGAGGTGTTTAATTGGACTAATTCGTATAGGTTCATTTTGGAAATTAAGGCACATTTGAAATTTAATCCCAAATACAAATTTAAGTGTCTAAAGACCATTTACGTCAGCAATTGAAAATTAAATGAAAGTTCGAGATTCAAGTCCAACAACAGTCTCAAAATGAAAACCCATTACACCAGACTCGACCATTTGGCACCATTTCAGCTCTAACACGGTGCTATTGCTGCCACATGAAGACATTGGGAACCACAAAACCAAGCTGCCCACATGAAATACCCAATAGCTTGGTTCCCATGGAAGACATATCAGCCAATATGCCCGAGCACCCCCAACGAGAAGTCCTCGAGGCTAACACCCATACTGCTGAAGCTCCACTGCCCATGCCAACACCAAACCTGAGCAGAATAGCTCGGTTCCCCATCACCCACCAACGGCAACAGCTCGTGCGTGCCCTGCAAACAGCAAATCCAAGGTGATGAAGCAGCGCATTAATATAGAAAACAACATAACAGGGGGTCACGGGCAGCAGTGAACAATGAGAAATCAACCACGAGACAGAACGAAAAATAGCAATCAATATAGAATCACGGGGATATCATTAATGAGGGGTTCAGCAACAGAAGGAAGAAGAACAAAAAAAAACAAAAAACCATCATCAATCAACGATCACCGAGAGAACCCTAGAGAACTACCAGCCATCAACAACAAAAAACAAAGAGCCATCATCAAGAGAAAAACAGGAGAAAAACAAAGATAACGAGGGAACCCGAGAGCAACTGTTGACCCTTTTCTAGCAAAAACGCAACCAAAGAAATCCATTAGCAGAACCAGAAAAAGGAAAACCAAAGAACTGATCACCAACAACCATCGGTGGAACCCAGAAACACAGATTAGAGCAATCAACGCCAATCAAAATTTCAGAGAGCATAACAATACAATCCTTACCTTCCTGAGTTGAAGAGGAGAACCATCACCCTTGCCCGAATCCCGAACACCGTTGGGTCGTCGAGGGTAAGATTTCACCTCTAGACTACTGTTGTTGCATGAGTTGGGGTTTGTGAGGCTCGGTTCGTCTTAAAAGCGAGGGTTTCCTTAGGTTTTGGTTGGACCGTGAGGCTAGGGTCCTAGGAAGGGAAGCAGTGAGGGGTATTGGAGGAGTTGGTTCCTCGTCGGAGCAGGGGGAGAACCCGCGGTGGCCGTGAGTTTGGTTTTAGTGGGGGGTCAAAAATCTTTTAGATCCTAGGCTTTGGGGTTGATCTGAGTATTTCAGCGGGGTTGTTAGGCGGCGGAGGCTGCGGCGTTTGGGAGTTTTTGTCTAGGGTTTCCTTAGGTTAGACGAGACGAGGAGGAGAGATTTGAGAGAAAGACGGCTGGGGCAAAGGGTATCTGTTAGGTTGGGAAAGAAATGATCCAGGGCTTCAAAATTACCCTAATAACGATATATCTGCGCGTTAAAACGACGTAGTGTCGAGCTGTGCCAAAACGGCAGCGTTTTATGGCTAGGGGAATATCCCATGTTTTAGGATATTGGATGAATCTCGTGTGAGGCCCAGTAGGTTCAGTCTGTTACATTTTGGTTCCTTAACCGAGCTTTACTCTTTTCTGATTTTGCCTTGTAATTTTCTGAGTGTTTCATTTTGTCCAATTTCATGTTTAGGGCTATTTTCGTGTTTTCACATTGGATATGCAATTTGACAAACGTTCATTTTGGTCCTATGTAGAACTTTGGTTATATTATATTTGCGGTACTTGGAAATGAATTTTTATGAAAAGATCCTTTGTTTATGTTCTTTACATTTTAGTCCTTGTCTAATATTTTATGCATAATTATAGGTTAATTTCAGATTTATTTTAAATATATGCATGTGTATATTATTTCGAGTATTTTGTCCATACGCATAGAGTCAAATGTAGTTTATTTTATGTTGCATGTGTATATCATTTCGAGTATGTTGTAATTTGCATAAATTTAGGTGTAATTCATTTTCTATAAGCATGTTAGCCTCATATGCAACTCGACTCCTATTACATAATTTGATTAAGGATAATACCCTTTTAATTTAAAATTGTCGAAATGGCTTTTCATAACTTACTGGAAGGTCGTTATTGATGATTTTAAATTACAAGTGTATCCCGTCATTGTCACTAAAATTTTGATTCTCCACTTTAAAATTTGGGAGTGAA